GTAGACTGATGTCTATGTTGTTTCCTTATTTTTGGAAGTTGCTTACAATGCACTTTATTTATTCAGGTAATATTATATCCTTCTAAGCTCTTTGATGGAGTTGAATACTAGATATTTATAGTTAAACTTTTCCATATTTATGATAGAAAGACAATTGGGTACAAAACTTTCACCAAAATAGGATAAACAATGGAGTATTTTCTTTGAAATTGTCAAATACAAATGTACTAGATATTGTAAATGCAATTCTTACTTGATAATTATTCTTATTATATATAGTTTTACTACGTCTTTCCTTTTTATTTAGACAAAAAGGGAAAATATTGTGTGATGGAGGAAGGTCATTGGCTAATAAACTGCCTTGGCCCATTTGACAGGCCAGCCTTTAGGTGGGTGGAGTAAACAGAACAGAATGCTGGGAGGCAGAGGAAGTGAGCTGATATGCCTTAGTTCTGCTCTCTGAGGCAGACGCCATAAAGCTCCGACCCAGAATGGACGTAGGCTAGAATCTTCCTGGTAAGCACACCTTGATGCCACACACATTAATAGAAATGGGCCAAGCAGTGTTTAAATGAATACAGTTTGTGTGTTCTTATCTCGGGGCACAAGCTAGCCAGGTGGCTGGGAGCAGGGCGGTAGGAATGCAACCCACAGCTCCTTCAACAATTGTGGAAAAGTTTCTTTGTTCATTTGAAGGTGTGTCACTCAGATTTGTTTATTAAAAAGCTGAACGGCCAATAGTCATGCAGGATTTTGGGGCAGAGAGAATGTTGAAAAGAAGGAGGAAATACCAGGGGCACAGATCAAGCAACATGGGCATTGCAAAGTAAAGGTAACTGAGCCATGTAAAAGAATGTAGAATAAAAAATATGAGTTAATTTAAGTTGTAAGAACTAGTTATGAAACAAGCCTAAGCTATCATCCAAGCTTTCCTAATAATAAACCTGTGTGATTATTTGGAAACTGGAAGGTGAGACAAAAAAAATCTGCCTAATAACCTATCTCAACACATAACAAAATATACTTTTACTTCTTTTCATTATGTGCCTTAATAATGTTAAGTCATCTGGAAAATAAAGGTAGCTATTTTCAACTCCTAAAAAATTAAGCAAGATTTCCAGATAATCTGGAAAATCCACTTCTATATATGTACCCAAAAATATTAAATACAGTGTCCCCCAAAGGATATTTGTATACCCATGTTCACTGCAACATAATTCACAATAGCCCCCAAAATGAAAGACACCCAAACATCCATCAGTGGTTGGATATATAAAATGTATACGTGTTTGTACATGCATATATACAGTGTATCTGTGAAGTGTTTAAGTAATATACAAACATATATATTATCCAGTCTTTAACAGAAAGGAAATTCAAAAACATTCTATTGCATGAATAAATCTAAGGAAAACTGTGCTAAATGAAATCTCATAAAAGGACAAACTTATATGAGCCCACTTATTTGAGTTACTTGACAAATTCATAGAGACAGAAAGCAGTTTGGGGGTTGCCAGAGACTAGGGGAACTGAGAATGGCTGTTTAGTGGTTATAGAGTCTCAGTGTTGCAGGATGAAATGAATTCTGGATTCATCATATAGTACAGAAAGGCTCATGAGGCCCCAGCCCTGATTAAGAATTTAAAGGCAGTTAACAGGTGCCAGAAGGGAGGGGCCCACGAGGATCTATAGACAGCTAATGGTTGCTAGAGAAGGAAAAGACAATTTATTTCTGTGATGTAGACATTGGTAAGATATCTGTGCTCCTGTAAGTAAATCTAATTAAGACAATGGTTCACAAATAAAAACAAAAATATGGAAGTAGAGGAAAACAAACTAGGAAGATAAAAGGTTTCAGCAGGAGTGTGTGGGGGGGCAAGAGAGGGTAATAAGGGATGACTATGATAAAAATACAATCAGATAAGTGTATTAAAATATAGTGAAGGGCTGGAGAGATGGCTTAGCGGTTAAGAGCATTGCCTGTTCTTTCAAAGGTCCTGAGTTCAATTCCCAGCAACCACATGGTAACTCACAACCATCTGTAATGAGGTCTGGTGCCTTCTTCTGGCCTGCAGGCATACACACAGACAGAAAATTGTATACATAATAAATAAAATATATAATGAAACTCACCTGGCAGTGGTGGCACAAGCCTTTAATCCCAGCACTTGGGAGGCAAAGACAAGTGGATCTCTGTGAGTCTGAGGCCAGCCTGGTCTACAGCGAGAGTTTTAGGACAGGCTCCAAAGCTATAGAGAAAACCTGTTTCAAAAAACCATACATAATATTGGAACTCATTGTTTATAATTAATATATGCTAATAAAAAATAATTTTTAAAACTTCTGGATATTGGTTGCAAACAATGTGAACAGATTCAATATGACTGAAATCTATGTATACTGTATAAAAATTATCAGAAATAAAATGTGTGGGTTCCCCTAACCTAATTTATAATATCATTGTTTGGTCTTTGTCTCTTGATATCAGTTCATGAAAATGTTCTAGTGAGTTCTACTCCTGTTGTAAGATGGACTAATCAAGGAAGTACACCCTACTGTTATCAAAAAGCAAACCTCAAGGATCATTAATGGTGCTATGATCATTAAGTAAAAAGTTATGCCTATATCAAAAGAATATGTAACACAATGTACTTTGCTTCTGTACATTACCATGTGCCAGAATCATACAAGTAGCGTGGGCATAAAAGTAGTTACATTCAATTATTAGGTATTGGGATATACGCATGTTGTCAGAATTTCACCTCATAAATTACCTGCTAATTGCAAAAGGAAGAGGCATTTACCTTTTAAAACAGCAATACCTGCTGGACATCATATGAATAAGTAGGCAATCTCTGCCCTGCTTAATGTGGCATAACGAAACACGCACCTCTGGCCTTGATGCAAAAGGTTCAGAATGAATGTAATAAAGCCAATAGTCTCAAGTTTCAGGCAACAGAGGAACAAGCCAAGGACCACATGGAAATACTATATATGAAATATATGAAAACTATCCTGGTTTCATAAATAGGTGAATTTTTAATATGGTCTAGGTTTTAAGTATAGGGTTATTCAGATTTACTTATGCATATGCACGTTTTGCTTACATGTACATCTAGGCAACATGTGTGTGCCTGGGTTCATGCCAAAGTCAGAAGAGGGCTTTGATTTCCCTGGAACTAGAGTTAAGGATGGTTGTGAATTGCCATGTAGGAGCTGGCAACGCAGCTGGGCCCTCTGCAAGAGCAGCAAGTGTTCTTAACCACTGAGCCATCTCTTTCCCCACTTAAGTATTGTTAACCTTCTTACAATTGACAATAGTATTGTCAGCCCAGAAAATGTTCTTGTTCTTTTTCTAAATTTTATTTTACTTTTTATTTTTAATTATGTGTATGTCTATGAGAGGAGATGTTCACATGACTACAGCTACCTGCCATTCATTACATGTAGCCCAATCTCGGGTCTCTGCAAAAGCAGTCTGTGCTCTTATCTGGTGAGCCCTCTATACCTTCTCCTTATGAGACACATCATGAAGTGTATAGGAGACTTTCATAATGTCTATAACATCCTATTATATTGTTAAAAAAATAATGTGTGTATTTCTGTACTCAAAGAGACGGTTTAAGTAATTATGACAAACCTTTCAGTTGTCTAATACAGATCATGGGTATTCATAGTTCAATTCTTTCAGCTCTATTTTGTTTTAATTTTAAAGTAAGAAATAGCTGTAGAGAATTACAAAGGAAAAAATAATAAAGCTCTCATTTTTATTTAAAAGTCTATCAATAGACTTGCTATCCCATTCAGCTCTCTCTGCAGATTCTAATAGTCTTATTTATTCAGTGATCACAAGAGAATAAAAAGTTATTCAAGGGGCTGGAGAGATGGCTCAGAGGTTAAGAGCATTGTCTGCTCTTCCAAAGGTTCTGAGTTCAATTCCCAGCAACCACATGGTGGCTCACAACCATCTGTAATGAGGTCTGGTGCCTTCTTCTGGCCTGCATGCATACACACAGACAGAATATCATATACATAATAAATAAATAAACATTTTTAAAAAAAGTTATTCAATAGCCTAGTGTGGTGGTACATGCCTTTAATCTCAGCACTCAGGAGGCAAGGGGAACTCTGTGAGTTCAAGGCTACCCTGGACTACATAGTAAGCTCTAGGTTAGTCAAGACTACATAGTAAGATCCTATCTCAAAAGGAAAAGTTGCTGGGCAGTGGTGGCGCACGCCTTTAATCCCAGCACTCGGGAGGCAGACGCAGGCGGATCTCTGTGAGTTTGAGGCCAGCCTGGTCTACAAGAGCGAATTCCAGGACAGGTTCAAAGTTACAGAAAAATCTTGTTTCTAAAAACAACAACAACAACAACAAAAAAACAAAAAGGGAAAAGTTATATGGGTATAGTGGTACAGGTATCTATATGTACAGGTAGAGTGGAACAGACCTGACTTCTTAGCACTCAAGAGACACAGGCAGGAGGATTACAAGTTCAAGACCATACTTACTAAATTCTGTCTCAAAACAAAACAAAACCAAAGAAGTTATTGCAACAATGACAGCAAAAGGCAAAGTACAATAACGATAAAATGGTCAAAGCGATTATCTCTAAATTGTTGAACTACTGGAATTTTTCCACATATGTTTAATATTTATGGTACATCTGATGCATTATAATTATATGGTTAAAAATACTGTTATGCTCTTTGAACATAAGCACTACAGAGACCATTATAGACAAACATTACTGTGTTTAATGCAAAACTGACAGAGCTATACTGAAATACTAAATTCACTGTGAAATTTAGAAATTGTATGTATGAGACATACATACAATCCTAAACTATATGTATAGAAATAGGAACCACTGTAAATTTTGATCCTTTCATGGGTGGCAAGGAGCTTTTTACCTTGCTTGGGGTTAGTCACAATCTCATGACTTAACATGAAAATTCAAGTAAAGAATATAATACACCACCAGTAAAAGAGTACTCACTCTCCACAGACCCCTGGTACCTTCTTGCTGGTATATATCAATGAAGCTGCCAATCATGCTCCCTTGGAACAAACTTCCTTGAGCCTGCATTCGAATCTAAAATGAAAAAAGGGAACATTCTATTTTGACAGAAAAAAAACCAAAGTGAGACAATTCAGTCCTTTAAAATTAAGGAATTATTTTTAAATCTCTGCTATTATGATGAATTAAATTGTACACAAAAGCATAATTTGTGCCAAAGTATAGTCTATAAAGGTTGTATTTAGGTCTCATATTTCCCACAGTAAATCTATCTTTTCTAGACTTGTACAATAACAAGTATTCATGAAATATAGCGTAGTGGCACAGGCCTTTAATCCCAGGACTCAGGAGGCAGAGACAGGTGAATTTCTGTGAGTTCAAGGCTTGCCTGGTCTACACAGTGAGTTCCAGGGCAGTAATGGCTACATAGTAAGACCCATGTAATTAATTTAGTAAAGAATTAGGGACTACTCAAATGTCCAAAAACCAATGTCAACAACATATTGGTTACATAAATGATGAAACATTAATTTAACAGAATACAGTAGAGCCATAACATTTTCCCCTAAAGTATTTGTAGACCTTAGAAGGCATTAAAAATTAATTGTTAAACATGCCAGGTGGTGGTGGCATGTGCCTTTAATCCCAGTATTTAGGAAGCAGAGGCAAGTGGATCTCTGCAAGTTCAAGGCCAGCCTAGTCTACAAGAGCTAGTTCCTGGCCAGGTACCAAAGCTACACAGAGAAACCTTGTCTCGAAAAACCAAAAAAGAAAGAAAGAAAGAAAGAAAGAAAGGAAGGAAGAAAGATTAATTGCTAAACATAAAAGTGCTGTTTCTTACCAAAAATGTGAATTAAAAAACACAGCGAGAAGAGTAGGTGATCATATATACCTAAATATTAACAGAGGTTTACATATGAATGGGGAGTCTATAAGTGAGGATTGTTCTCTTTTGAGTTCAATTTCTAGAACTTATGGCCAAAACAGAGCTGATTCCAAAAGGTTTGACCTAACCTCCACATGTACATACACATACGCCCCCCACAAAATATAGTAACGGTAGTGATGATAAATTTATTTGGGGGCTAGAGCACTGGCTGTTATTGCCGAAGACCTGGGTTTGGTCCTCAAAACCAATATGGCAGCTCACAACTCTCCTTAACTACGGTTTCAGGGGCTCCAATGCCCTCCCTCTTCAGGTTCTATGGGCACTAGGCACACATGGTACACAGGCATACATTTAGGCAAAGTACACATACAAAAAAACTAAATATTTAAATTTTTAATTTAATTTTCTTTCTTTTTTGTTTGTTTTTTGAGACAGGGTTTCTCTGTGTAGCTTTGGCTATCTTGGAACTCATTCTGTAGACCAAGCTGGTTTCCAACTCACAGAGATCCATCTGCCTCTGCCTCCTGAGTGTTTGGGTTAAATGTGTGTGCCACCAATGCCCAGCTAATTTCATTTTTTAAAAAATAATGACAATTTATACTAGACAATCAAATTTATACCAGACAATCAAATTTATATCAGATAATCAAATAATGACCAGTTTTATATTTGTAGATTTAATCATTCACCAGTTGAAAAATATTTGGAAAAAACTGCATTTGTACTGAACACATGTAGAATTTTTCTTTGTCATTATCTCTGGAATAATATAACAACTATTTACATATGTTTACATTATATTAAACATCTTAAGTAATCTAAAGTGGACTTAAAATATCTAAGGGAATATGCACAGGTTATACATAAATACTGCTTCATTCTATGTAAGCATCTTATTGAGCATCTAAAGATTTTGTTATTCACTGGGGAAAAGTCCTGGAAGAAATCCCTACAAGATTGGGATGAACAAACTCTGCTGTAATCGCTATAAGGTGAATCTCCTATCACTTGGTTTGCATTATCCTGGATCCTGATTTATACTTTCTCTTATTATAAGCAACGAACTTGAAATTTTTTTTCCTTGTAACTCACAGCTGGAAACATGACTCAGCTGTTAAGAGAGCTTGCTGGTTTTCCAGAGGATCCAGGCTTGACTGCTGCACCCACATGGCAGCTCACAACTGTCTGTAACTCCAGTTCCAGGGATTTGGATGTTCTCACCTGGCTTCCATGAACACTGCATGCATGTGGTACATGGACATACTTGCAGGCAAAATACCCCCACATATAAAATAATATTGTTTAAACTTGAGATTCATGGTTGTAAATACCTCTATACCCAGTAAGAAGACCAGACTACATAAGATTCTCTCTCAGGAAAAAAAAAATCCTAGTTTGTGGTCCTTCACATTGTTTAATCACATATTTTGTGCTTTATTAACTAAGAAGGAATGAGGTTTTTTTTTTTCAAGACAGGGTTCTTTTGTGTAGCTTTGGAGCCTGTCCTAGAACTCACTGAGCTGACTCAAACTGACTGAGCTGGCCTCAAACTCCCAATTTTTGCTATAAGTCAACACACCATCTGAAGATTTGTAATAGGTAAAGGATATGCCTTTGTTTTGTAAAATGGGAAAAGGGCTATTAGAAACACAAATCCATTCTCACACCACTTAAGGAAAACAGAGTAAGGAATTTAGAAAACAATTCCCTAGAACTGCGGAGCTCTGAAAATATCCCATAGTTGGGTTAAAAGCCCAAGCTGAAAACCACTGGATTAATGCATATCACATTAAACTACTCCTGAACATCTACTATGAAGCATGTTATACAAGTTTACATGTATTATCACTAATTCTTACCAACTTTATGCTCTAAGCACTGAGTAGTTAGGAGATTTTCCCAAGAGTTTAGAACTAACAATGGACAGTGTAAGACTCAGAACTCGAACCTGAGTTAAAGTTGCGGTCTTTCCACTCGCATGGCAGACACCTATCTCTCTTACCTTTAGAACATCAGTGGGATTGGCTATAGTCGATGAAATCACTCCTGACACTACCCCACAGATCATATTAATTAGGAGAGTTTCATCTGTAAAAATGTAAAATAAACAAAATGAACAGATAGATAGAGAGAGATAAAGAGAGAGAGAGAGAGAGATAGAGAGAGAGAGATAAAGGTTCATTTTATTAAGTACTGTTTTCTCAGAGTACCAAGGAAAGATTTCCTGGAGAGATGACTTAAAAATTAACTTCAAGATTTATCAAAGTAAAGACTCTCAAATATTTGTAGCACATCCCAAATTTATACAAAATATAAATTATAAAATATAAACCATTATTTCCCTAAAAACATTATTTTTTTTAATTTTTATTATTTTGAAGACATCACATTCTTCAACCTAATTGTGAGTATAAGACATAAATTAGAATGTGGTATTTCCTTTTCAGCCACTTCAAACATAATAATACATCCACTTTTAAGTCTTTTAAAGTTTTCTGAGATTATAATCTATGGGGTGTTTTTTGTTTTATTTTGTTTTTCTGTTTTTCAAGACAGGGTTTCTCTATGTAGACCTGGCTATCCTGGAATTCAGTCTGTAGACCAGGCTGGCCTTACACTCAGCGATCTGTCTGCCTCTGCCACCCAAATGTTAGGGATTAAAGGTGTGTGTCACCACCGCCTGAGATTATAATTTAATTACAATATTTCTTCCTTACCTTTCCTCCCTCCAAACCCTTCCATGTACCTGTTCCTGTTCTTCAAATTTATGGCCTTCTTTTTCACTAATTGTTATTACATGTAAATATGCAAATACATACATACATATTCCTAAATATAACCTGTTCAGTCTCTATAATACTATTTGTATGTATGTTTTCAGGACTGACCATTTGGCATTGGACAAACAATTGGTGTGCTCTTCTCTGGGGAAGACCACCTCTTGCGCTCCCAGCTTTCTGTAATTGCCTATAGCTCTTTGTGTAGGGCTGAGGCCTCATGGGCTTTTCCCTGTGCAGTTTGGCATACCTTGTTCAATTTTTAAGTCTTTTTATGAAAAGTTAACTTTAAAGAATAACAAGATGCTAAAAAACTATAGTCTTATGTGTAATAAAGTTATCTAAATATTAATGCTAAATGGCTTTAGAGCTCTCCTAGCCTCCATTTATGTAAGAAGGTTTCTGTAGTCAAATATGAAAAAGCAGGAGTATAATTCCTGCTGCTGAATAATGAATGGAAAGAATTAGATATAGACCAGCACTCTGCTACCGAGTTACAAAAGAAATAATTTAGAGCTAAATTCCCTCAGCTAGAAACAAGAAAGGAACAACAGAACATAATGTTCTACAGAGAATATCTAATCTTCACCAGTTCCTACTTCTCATGAAGGGCCTATAAATAGAAAATAAGTAAACCCACATTAATAAACTATGAAAGGAAAATATTTTCAGGAGAGATGAAAGTGAATCCTTCAGGATTCCCACCTAAGAGGCTCCAGAAAATGCTGATTTAGAATAAAACAAGTCCTTCAAGAGATACTGCTAACATGAAGTCAGTCCAGCTTTCTCCATCATCCAGTAACCCCAGGCCTATGATAAAAATCCATGGTGCAAGTATCAGACTCAAATGGAAAAACCTACAACAACTCTGAATTTGGGTTAACTGGCCATAGGTACATTAGAGTTCAGACTATAACAGACTAAAATTTATCTACCTACCAAAAGCTTATCAAAATTGACCTCTAGATGCCAGGTGGTGGTGGTGCACGCCTTTAATCCCAGCACTTGGGAGGCAGAAGCAGGTGGATCTCTGTAAATTCAAAGCCAGCCTGGTCTACAGAGAGAGTTCCAGGACAGCCAGGGCTGTTACACAGAAAAATCCTGTTTTTGAAAACAACAACAACAAAGAATTGACATCTAGGAAATGCCTCTAACTGATGAAGACAGCATTCATTTTCAGGCTTCATTTCTAGGCTTCTTCAAGAATGACAACAAGTTTTTTTTTAAGAATTATTATTTTAGGAGCTGGAGAGATGGCTCAGTGGTTAAGGGCAATGACTGTTTGACCAGTTTCTATTCCCAGTACTCACATGGCAGTTCTCAACTGTCTGTAATTCCAGGTCCAGCATCCTCACACAGACATACATACATACAGGCAAAACAGCAATAAAATAAAAAAATAAACATTTTTTTTTAAAAAAGAATTATTATTTTAAGCAAGGCGATGATGGTCCATGCCTTTAATACCAGCACTTGGGAGGCAGAGGCAAATGGACTTCTGAGTTTGAAGCCAACCTGGTCTACACAGAGAGTTCCAGGACAATCAGGGCTATACAGAGAAATCCTGTCTTGAAAATCAAAAACAAAATGACAACAAAAAGAGAACTATTATTTTGGGGGTAAGACATATATCATGGCATATGTATGGAGGTCGGAGTTCAACTTTATGAACCGTGTTCACTCCTTCCACCTTTGCATGGGTTCCAGGTATCAAACTCAGGTAGTCGCACTTGCATGAATTTGCCCATCTTGCCTGCCTAAAAGTTTCTCAGTTGATAGCAAATGATAAATTTGAAGAGCAGGTGCCTCTAACCCACATATGCCCTCTGTAGGGATTTAGCTCAAGTCAACAGAAGCCCACTTATCCCTGCAGTAATTGTCTTTCATTCTCTAGCATCGTGAGATAAACATTTCACAGTAAGCATGATTTCAACAATCCCTTTGAGGATAACCTCAAAAGAGAGTTGAGCATACTGACCTTCCAAACGTTCTACAAATAATCGCTTCAAGCTTTGGTAAATACCAATTTTGATGGTGCCATATGATGCCTGTCTTAGTAAAGCAGGAGCAATTCTTCCCAAAAAGAGAGAGAGAGAGAGAAAAGTTAATTTTATATAACACACATTTGTAGATTTTACAATTCTTTTATCTATATCCTTCCAAGCAGTATAGCATGCTTTTTTTTTACTCACCCAGGAAGAAAGAAATCTCAAATCCCACGTCATAAAACAAACATCAACAAAGTAAAAAGAACTAAATTTATATAGAATATATTTCCTGTCCATAATGGAAACAAACAAGAAAATGATAAGGAGAATGCTCAAACACTTGCAAATCAAACAATACACATCTAAAACAACATGTGGGTTAGAGAAAGCTACAAAAGAAGTTTTCTCAATGTATAGATATGAGTAAAATTTCAAATACATCCTATAATATACATGGGGAAACAACAACAAAAGAAAAGGACATCATGAATATGAGAGTGAGGAAAGAGATACATGGGAATGCATGGAGGAAGAAAGGGAAAGAGGAAATAATGTAATTATAATTCCAAATTTTTAAAAATATTAATAAAAATTTTAATACATGGGATACAGCTAGGTCTGAAAGTATAGGTCTGTAACCCGAGCTACTTGTGGGCTAAGGCAAGAGTTCCAGACCTGCTTGAACTAGAGTGAGCATAAGACAAGCATGAGCAGCTTAATATGGCCCTTTCATATAAAAAGTAAAAAGAAAGTAGTTCACAGATAGAGTACTTACATAGCATTGCTAGGCTCTAGGTTCAATCACCAATATTAAAAAACAAAGAGGGGGCAGAGAATATGCAACCAAAGCATAGTTGAGAATAATTTATAGTCAAATTCTTACCCTAGCAGAGTAAACTCCCCAGAAGCCAACCTCTAGAACTATGAAAAATTAATGCCTACTATTTATAAGTGACCAGGCATATGGTACTTTGTCACAGTGGCCCAAACTAATAGTATTAAAAATTTTACAAAATAAAACTTAAGTCATAGTTTTTTAATTTTTCCGATTTTGTTTACTTTTGCTTTACATATATGGGTATTTTGCCTACAAGTATGTTGGTGCACCATGTGCATGCAATGCCCATAGGGGCCAGAGGAGGGCATAAGATCTTCTAGAACTGGAGTTACAGGCAGTAGGTTAGTTGCCACGTGGGTGCTGGAAATTGAACTCAGGTCCTACAGAAGAGGAGCCAGTGCTCCTACCTACTGAACCACCTCTCCAGTCCCAATGAATTAACAGTTTTATTAAAGTTCATAAAATAGAAATTCTCAGTCCAAACAAGTTTGCTGAGGAGCTCTATAAAACCACTGAAGAATTACCATTAATCTTATACAAGCTCTCCAGGAAATGGAAATGGGAATGTTTCCCAAATCATTTTGGCTAATATTACCTTGGTAGAAAAAAAAAACCCAGACAAAAACAGCATAAACAAAAAACAGAGCTATATCGTTCATAAACTTAGATGCAAAATCCTCTAGAAAAGATGAGTAAATTGAATGTAGCAATATACAAAAGAGTTAAAACACTAACCCATACGTCATAGGTTAAAAAAAACCTTGACCTTTATTTCCTAACAACTGCAGATACATCTTTAACTTAATCAAAAAGGAAGCCAACAGCACCAAGATTTCAGCCTACTTAAATTCTGCTCATAAACTGAAGATGTTCTCACTCATGCCTCCTTTGAGATTCATCCAAATTGCAGAACTATACTTTAGGAGATATAAATAGAAATAAAGCAACAGCTCAAATGGTTAGGATTGAAGAAAAAAACAGATGACTAAATCTGCATATTTCTGACTGTTACTTGCATTAGAAAAAGAATTCCAAGGTTATCTATGCTAATAGAGGGACAAGGTAAAAGAGATGATCAATCCATGGATAATTTAATTATGAACAAGGATCTTTTTTTTTGTTTTTTTCTTTTTGTTTTGAATTTTTTCTCCAAGAAAACTATAATTTAAATAAACCCAACCCAAATTACTAGTAAAATTGATTTCCAATCTCTCAGCAATACTGGTAGCCTAGATTTAGGATAGCCTAGGAAATCAGCAGCAGGTGAAGTACAAACTGGACAATAAACCATAAACTGATGAGTAATCAAAAGGTGATGAAAAAAGATACTCCCTTTCTTCTATTCTTCATTCCTATTTAATCTGCCAGAATATTTCTTTCACAAAGAAAATCTTAAAGGAAGCCAGTGCTTGCCAAATCAGGAAAATTCTCAGAAGAACGTACACAGCTAATTGGTGCTGCTTTTTACAACAGTCATCAGTAAATGTCAGGAAGCCAGAAAAAAAAACCTTATGCTGAAATGATATTATCCACTTTCACATTTATTCCATACAGCCTGATTAACACAAATTCCAAAGCTCAAGACTTACAAGCAAATGAAATATACAAAAGCCCACCAATACAGAATTACAAGTAAAAATGGTGACTATGAAGGATATAAACTAGCATGTAGTTGTTCATGCTCCAAGGAAAGAGGCCAGACTTACCCTGAATACAGAGCCAAAATCCCCTCTTCTTTATAGATTCGAAACAAGGCATGAAACATCCCTCTATATTTAATCTCTTTGAAGCGGACATCGATGCTCTGGCCTTGGACTTGCAGCCGTGTTTTAGTAAGGTCCACAGGGAAAGTGCCTATGAGGGAACACACTCCTGAGCATTTACAAAGAACACAGGTATGTTTTGGCTAAATATAAGGCAATGCAATAGTGGAAATCTAACACAGGGTCCTTTTCATAACACTCAGATATGCACTACACTGCCACTGACAGAAGGTAAAGGCTTTTAAGTGGAGTGAAATGCACTAGGCTCTCTAGGAAGCACGACTTGCCACACAGTATATTTGACACTTTCTGCCAGAAATGCAAAGGCGTTTGGATACTTCTTTTCCTTCGTCTGTAACATACTAATGCCAACGGCATTTATTAGTCTTTTCCTCCCACCCTTTCCCACCGCAAGTCTCCTTATCTCTCCTTCATAAAATCTCCCCACATCATCGCAAGCACAAGAACATCCAGGATTGCTGATTCAGAGGTTCTTACATGCAGTAACAATAGGGTATGAGCATGTGTATTTACGACTTCCTAATACTATGACAGAAATTGGCCAAGTCTCACTTGGTTCTACTTACCATGGTGTCTTTGATAGTTCAGGAGTAATACCAATAGAGTACTTGAGCCATTAGTTTTTTCAATTATGTGCTACTTATTTGTATGCATGTGTATGTATGTGTGTGGGTATATCCTCCACGGCTCATGCATGGAGGTCAGAGGATAGCCTGCAGGAGTTGGTTCTGTCCTTCAACCACATGGGTCCCAGGGATCAAATTCAGGTTCGTCAAGCTTGGCAGCATGCATCTTTACCTGCTGAGCCATCCTGTTGTCCCTAGCCGGATTCTTCAAAAAACAAAAACAAAACTCCCTTTTCTTATCTCAGCACATAAAAGTGGTTATTGCATGAACAAAATGGGTTTTAAGAAAGATTTTAAGATCTAAACCTAACAAGGTGTTTATATATGTAATTCTGAACTTTGGGGATCTAGATAGTGCAAGACCAGAGCATATACCAAGAAAGGCAGAAAACACTGCGGGATTGTAGATACTTAGGAAACATTCAGGGAAAAGAAAACTCTGGAAAATGAAAAGTTACAATCTAAAAGTATTTCAAAATTTAAATCAAAAGAGAGATGACTCTTGTTTGATCTTATTTACTTCTAAAATGGAAGAGAGCTTTGCAAAAAAGAAGCCTGGATAAGAAGAAAATTATAGCCTTAGCATAAATGTAAGACCATTAGTACAGGAATACACAGAAATCATTGTCATATATTTTCCTCTATGATTACACATATTTGGCTTGGAAAAATTAGCAAGTCACTAAGTTATCAAAAAAAAAGGTTCAAAATTTGACTTCTTAACCTCATTCACCTTATCATTACTAGTACCTTCTCTGTAATGCTGTTTGATAGCCATGCAAACAATAATATTATTTTTTGTTTTTTCAAGATAGAGTTTCTCTGTATAAGAGTCCTGGTTGTACTGGAACTCAGTAAGAGTCCTGATTGGACTGGAACTCTGCAGACCAGGCTGGCCTCGAACTCTTCTGAGATTGACCTGTTTCTGCCTCCCAAGTGCTGGGATTAAAGGCATGCACTACCACCGCCTGGGGCAACAACAATTTTTAAAACAAAGATGACACCTCTCTTTTGATTTGTTCTCTGTTTACTCAAGAAATAACTGGTAGCATGCATAACCATCTGTGGCACAAAACTCATATTTATCATCCTGTTTTTCAGATTCTTACCGAACTCGGCAACAATAGAGGCAAGGCCGCCATACACAAAAGGTTTCCAGTTCAGACCAGACATCTCATGGCTTAAAGTGGGACTTTTCTGATGCTAAAAATAAACACGAATTAGAACAGGGCACAAGAATGAAGAAAAGTACCAGTTAACGCTTGAGTATATGATTTGAATCAACCCAACTGGCAAACCAAAGGAACATGGAAGAAAAACTAAAAACCACCAAGTAGGATGAGACAAAACTGAGAGTCCTTCCTCAAAGTCTGGATGCTTATGAGTTTCTTCTCTAATGTCATTCTGTAGGGTAGGTGTACAATCACTTAAAAATGAACATGTGCCCTTCATGCTCTCTAATTTAATCGTCCACTCTTCCCCACCCCAAGAAGCTTCAGCCCATTCATCCAGAACTCCCATCTCTGACATTCATCTAGACAATCACAGGTCAGGGAAACTGAAACTGAAGTTACATAGGCTGAGGCATCTTATAAAAGCAGTTCATGGTATTCAGTTAGCTTGATTCAGGCACAAAACACAAGCTACCAACACTACCCCCCGAACATTCTCAGCCTGTTCAGCTCTCCACTAAAATTTAGCATCTCAGTTCTAGGAACTGAGCTAGTTTTACACCAAAGCAGCTAACTCAGTGAGACCCATGCTGAGATAAGGAGCAATGTACCTTGCTTCTGGCTCCTGGAGAAATGACAGCAGTGTGGATATATCCCATTTCTGACCCTGAACATCATCCTTCCAGTGATCTCCTTTCCCTTACCCCTGCACTGTAATAACATATCCTAGTACTATACGTTTTATGTTCTAATTCTTTATTGATGTACTTCTGTCCCCAGCCCTTTTTACTCCCCCCCCATCAAATCAATCTTGGATCTGTCATCCTAAAAATCTTCAGTTTTGTCAGGGAGGTGGTGGTGCACACCTTTAATCCTAGCACCCAGAGGCAGAGGCAAAGGCAGGCAAATCTCTTTGAGTTTGAGGCCAGTTTGTTTGACAGAGTGAGTTCTAGGACAGCCAAAGCTATACAGAGAAATCCTGTCTCAAAAAACAAAAACAAACAAAAAAAAAAACTTCAGTTTTATTTTTTCTGCCACTCTCAGCGCCTTCACTCTTGGATTTGTTTTTCCACAACTCTAGCATCTAGGCAAATATTTATCAAATTGTAGCATGCAACAGAATCATCTAAAAGGTTTTTAAAACATGGACTGCAGAGCCTCTTTCTCAGAGTTTCTTACTGTTTTAAGTCTTGCTCTGAGAATCTGCAAGGTGTCAAAGAATACTGATGCTTTAAGAAGGAACTATTGCTGTAGGTATCACCTGCTAAATCCTGGTCCTCTTGAAAACACTACTTTTTTTTAAAAAAAGAATCTCATATTTCCTTGAACTATTCCCTTCTTTTTCAGTGCTTCGATATATACTTCTGATTTCAAAAGGGTTTACAGTCAAAAAGGAACACCCTGAAATCAGATCATCTAACATTGAATCATGGCTCCAGATTCACATCTTGACTATCACTTACTAGTTGTTTGTAGGAATGTTATTCAATCTGTATCTGCCTTTATTTTCTGAAAACAATAATAATAAAAACATATTATAGGGTTGTTGTGTTGTATATAAGTAACACATTTTTAACACCTAGAAAAATCCTTGAAACTTTGCTTAATAAGTTAGATAGTTATTACTACACATTTTAATAAATACATTTATTAAACAAATAAAATAAATACTTTATTAATAAATAAATAAAATAAATACATTTTCATAGACAGCATTTGCTGTCCATCTTCCCCTTGCCAGTTTGGGTTAGTACCATTGAGCTACCTTCTGTTCTTAGAGGAAACAGGGTTTTGATTTATTTTTTACAAAAGTAATTCTCTGAAACAAAGCAACGAGCAATTTTCCAGAGAGGCTAGCAAGCATGTAGATAAATGTATTAGTTATACTACAAAAATAATTGTGGAAGCATGCTTTCAAACATTATATATATATATAAAATATGTGAGAGATACCCCTATTGGAGGAAAGTTCATTAAAACTCTAAAGGGCAAAGTAGGAATTGATAGGAAAAATAGGACTATGACATAAAAACAACAACAAAAAATCCTTTAAATCAGATGTGGTGGCCCATGCTTGTAAATCCAGCAACTAGAAAGTGGAGTCAGGAGGATCAGTAATTTAAGTCACCCTTTCCTACATAGGGAGTTTGAGACCAGCCTGAGCTACATAAGACCCTGTCTCCAAAAGAAAGCACAAAAAGGAAGGAAAAAAAATCACTCTCTGGTGTCAAATTTAGAGATTTCCCTAAATAGCCTTTGATATTTCAAATGTCTGCTGAGCTTCTCCCCCAGATTTTCCGTTCACAACTTCACGCACCCTTTCTCAGTACAGGAAAAAAAAATTCTACCACATCTTTAGTACCTACTAGTCAATGTTTCAAAAAATATTTAGTGTTTTAGCATTATTTTGTGTGTGTGTGTGTGTATGAGTGTTTGCTTACATGTATAACTCTGTACCACATGCATGCCTGATGACCACAAAGGCCAGAAGAGGGTGTTTGAATCCTTGGAACTGGTTACAGGTGGTTATGAGCTGCCATGTGGGTGTTGGGACTTGAACCTGGATCCTCTGGCAGAGCAGCTACTGCTCCGAACAGCTGAGTCTTCTCTCTAGCCCTCTACTCAGTCTCTTAATGGAAAATGTGCTCAGGATTCAGGAGCAATAACAAACCACTAAAAGTTGGGCCAGAGTCAAACTTCAGTTCCCAATGAAGTTTCCACAATTCAGAGGTGATAGGAAAACAAAACCAAACCTAGGGCTGCTTTCTTTTTTCAGTTAAATGTATGTCATTTAAATGGCTATTAAATCATATTGTTTAGCCCTAGAGCACTGGCAAATCGCCTCTCTTACATAAAATGATAATAGTAGTAGATAGTTGATAATATTTAGTGTCTTTATTTGGCAAAAGAAGCATAGTGATCTTTATCTGTCTCCTCTCCACCACATTTTCATTTCAATTTCATTAGTCTATAAAATTATACAAGCCTGGAGAAGACTAACCAAAACCAACAATGTCCCTTTACCACCTCCCCAGTCACATCTGATAGTAAAATCTTTCGCGCCAATATCAGAAATCAAAGTCATGAAAGAAATTTTTTATCTCCTTTGATTAGACTTTATACAGCCCTTCCTCACACTAGAACAACTTGGAGGCACATTGAACAAATTTATGTTTCCACAACGGAGTCCTTAATATTTAAAGGCAACTTTCATATTCCTACATTTTTCTTTTCTAAGGCTAAATAGTCCTGATCATTTTCTTCATTCTATATGTTTTACTTCAGCTACTATAGCTGAAATACCTTTGTTTCTTTTCAGAGAGGCTTATTATACAACTGAAGCATTAAAGTTCCAGCAAATACCAGAGTCTTTTACATAAAGCTGTATATATATATATATATATATATATATATATATATATGTGTGTGTGTGTGTGTGTGTGTGTGTGTGTGTGTGTGTGTGTGTATGGAAGTTATGTCTCACCTATTATTGTTCAACTATGTGATTTTTTTGAGAAAAATTTTGAGAAATTTGTTTATTCAACATCTTAAATTCAGGCATAAAATGATGACTAGGGTGAAGTATATTCTCTAGTTGTCTCGTCTCTTCTCCTCCTCTTTTAAATAGGGAAGATTCCCTAAAAGATGACACCATATTTCACAAAGCTTTTTATAAACCTCATAAAAACTTGTATAGAATGAGGACAAATGTCAAACAGTTGAGTGTCTTACATACACATCCTGTATATAAGCAGTTATAAAGCAAGCCACAAAAGTAATTTGCTGGACCTGGACAATAACACACACCTTATACAACACTCTCCTGATTCCCAGATTCTCTACCTATAAACACTTGTCTCTTGCTTTTGATGAAGAGGATTGCTCTGTAAAGCAATTCATATCCCAACTCCTCATAAAGTTATTTTGACTTGTGGAGGCTAACCTCAGTTTGGGGTGAAGGGACAGAAATAACATCTAAGTAGCAATACAGTACCCTACATATTTTATTATTTAAAAAGGCCAATAAAATTTGTCTTCACAATTTGTGCATCTATTCTTAGAATATAGCCCCTATATTTATTTCAAAGTCTGTTCAGGAAATTCTGGGTGATGACGTTCTTGGTTTCTCCTTTAAGAAAGAGTAGGTGTTAGACATGTTCATGATTGCAAGATAGCAATAGGGAACCTAAAGTTATGTGTTAAAGGCATACTAAATACTCAAACCTGAAATTGTCTATGAATATAATTGTCAAACTTTTAAAAATCACAGCCTGGTGTGGTGATGTCTTTAGATCCAGCACCTGAGAGGCAGAAGCAGGTGGATCTTTGTGCATCTGAGGTCAGCCTGGTCTATATAGTGAGACCCTGTCTCCAAAAAAATTTCACAGAAATATATTCTAACATAGACACTATTTGCCATTCCACCTATCTTTCCTGGACAATCATCTGGTGGAACAAATTAAATATTTTTGCTAGAGAAAAATTGTTAGAGACAAATTGTTACACTGCATAGAAATCTATAAAGCAGGGAAGCATGGAAAAGAAAACAACAGGCATGCGTTTGAATAATTTGGAAAAACTGTTGGAAGTGAGAGAACTTAAATTGGATCTCAACAGTGAGCAGACTGAATCCGGGTAGGAACAAATATCTGGGAAGGGTAAGCAGGGTACATAAAGACAAATGTGCAAACACACACAATTGCGTGGAGGTAGGCACCGATATAGTTTGTACTGAGACAGAAATCAAGGACCCAAGCCGAATACACAATATGCGTATTGGATGAACAAGTGAAAGGAGTAGATTCTACTGAGAGGCTTCAAAACAAGATGTTGGAGGAAGACTAGTTCTATTAATAGGGAAGTGAATTAAGGTAATGCCCTATTTTAATTAGTTACTGGGGACTACAAGCACAGTGGATTGCAAACAGAGAGGTAGGGAAATAGCTTAGGAGGGTGTGAAGTAGGCAGAAAAGAATACTTGTTAGCATTGGGGTTAATCTGTTGAAATGGAGACAAAAGACGTTTCATGATATAAATGAAGAGGAGGAAAGAGTTAACATCTACTCTAAGCATCTCTAGGGGCTGGGCAAGGAAGCACTGGTAGAAAACTATAAATGTCCTTGCTTATTATTGTCTGAGAAACAAAATCAATGTTAATAATATCTGTGATCCCGATCAAGTAACTGAACTGCATTTTAATAGATGCCTTCAATGCCTCAACCTCAGGAGTGACAGGGGTATAGAAAGTGATGGGGAGCATCTCTCAACAGCATCCCTCACACTGATACAATGGAGATGTTTGCTTACTCCGCTTGCAATCACAGCCGCCGTTGCAAACTTCACCCTTAGAAAAATTAGGATTATTCCGGGAAAGATACCCATTCACCCTGTGGGTAGCAGGATCTTGCCAATTCCTCAGCTGTCAGAGCGAGTTCGCAGAGAGAAGGGAGGCGCCTGAAGGAGGCAGCCTCCCAGGGGGGTCGAGGAAGCAGGGTTCAATCGTAGAAGTAAAGCCACCGGTGCCAGAAGAGTGAAAGACAGGGAAGGGACTCAGCTGAGGGGAGAGAGAGAGATCAAAGGACCGTTAAGCCCCTCCCAGGCCGAAAACCAGACCAGCCCGGCCCGCGAGGCCTGCCGCAGCCCAACCCCGCTCCCCAACCTGGAACTCCAGGAGCTCCCCCTCACCTGCTCAGGCTCATCAGACGACTGGAAAGCAGAGGCTCCCAAGGTAGGAAATGCCACCGCAGCACCAACCCGGAAGCATTGAAACGAACGGAATTAACAAGGCGTCGCCTTGGCAACAGTGGCGCAGCCATCCTAACTCCGCCTCCTCTTTGCCCGAAAAGGAAGGCGCGAATGAAAGGAAACCATTAGGGACGAAAGGCCTGAGTCCCAAAGGCTGTGCAAAAGGGTCAGGAGCCAGCCACCTGCCTTTCCGGAGAGGGAGCTAAGGTGGGAGAATGGGGCCGCTTCTGCAGCAGATGTGCTCTCCAGAGAGGGCAGAGGAGATGCCTTGTCACCCACCCGGAGTTTACCGGAGCAGATGGTCCGCGAAGCCTCAAAAACGCGAGGCAGTAGGAGGTGCATTGCATAGAGGGAGGTGGGACAAAGGATTTAAGATGGAAGTGGGAGAATTTCTTTTGCCTGCTTTTGGGACCCTTTTCCTACGGGGGCGGGAGACTGGGAGCAGAGGAGGGAGGGGCAAATTGCGATGGGGATGTAATATATGAGAGAAGAATAAATAAATACGTACATAATTTTTTAAGATTGGGAGAATTTAAGATAAAACTGAGAATTAGGACGTGAGCGGAATTTAGACACTGAACCCGGGCTCAGAAAGAAAAATAAAGATGAGAGAAGCAAATAAGCCTCACCCACTGAATGTCAGCAGCAGTAGCTGAAAAATACTAGCCTAGAGACAGAAACTTTGGAACAAGCTGCGAACAGAAAGGGGGCCAGGAAAAGTTAAAGCAAACGAATCTGAAGAGACTAATGGGAGAGTACCAGCTAATCCGCACCTCACAATTGGCTAGAAAAGCTTGACCACCAGCTTCAGACCCCAGTTCCCACAGCCGCTGGACGAGAAAACCAGAAACTTCTGGGTAAATCCATTAGCTAAATTAATACATGAAGGCTACCTCCATTTTTTCACTATATCACAGTTTCCACAATCACACAAGTGTTAATAATAGTGTTTTTTATTTACATAGGCATAAGTCAATGAGTTCAAGGCACACAGTCCTGAGGTTATTTGTTGAATAAGGTAATGTTTTGAATTGATTTATTCCAAAAGAATCTTCCTCATCTCGTTCACATCTACTTTTAAAAAAATTTCTTCAGGCAGCACACATGATATAATAAATGACATTATGGAGCACTTAACCATGTGCCAACGTGATGCTAACAGCTCTTTTGCTTGAAGCTGCCTTACAAGGTTGATACTTTTATTTTCACCTCCTAACAACTAAGAAAAATTAGGTCATAAAAGTGAAGCAGAGTTATGTCATAACTGGCAGAATTCGGATTTCAACTTGAGATTGACTTCAGTGCCCAAGTGTGCAACTCTAAGAATGTCTTCTTTAGCCGGGTGTTGGTGGCTCATGCCTTTAATCCCAGCACTTGGGAGGCAGAGACAGGTGGATCTCTGTGAGTTCGAGGCCGGCCTGGTCTACAGAGCAAGTTCCAGCACAGGCTCCAAAGCTGCAGAGAAGCCCTGTCTCAAAAAATAAAAAATAAATCGAATGCCTTCATTAATGTCAGAAACTTCATTACTCTAAAGATAAGAAACACGTGCATGCATTCCAAAATGAGAATTCTAGGAGACAGAAGAGATGTCTCAGCAGTTAAGAGCACAAGCTGCTCTTCTTAGAGGACAAGAATTCAATTCCCAATATTCAGTTCCCAAGGCTCAAAAGACTCCAGTCCCAAGAGATTCGGTGGCATCCACTGACACCAGGCACTCAAGTGGTGTGGAGAAATAAATGCAAATAAAACACCCATACACATAAAATAAATATTTTCATTATAAAATGTGAATTCTTTCATTTTAGACAACAGCAGAGCAACACCCTCTTAGACAAATGGGTAAAATCCTGTGTGTATAGTCCTTATAACTTGGAAGGTTTGGACTCTCTTCAGTGACACATAGTATATGTGTAGCCATTCATGTGGGAATCCTTCTGTATATGTGTTGCTTTTATTGGTTAATAAAGAAGTTGCTTTCAACCAATGGCTTAACAGACTATAGCCAGGTTGGAAGATATACAGAGAGAGAACAGTCAGAGTCAAAGAGAAGCCATGTACCAGCCACCAGAGACAGAGGGCTAGTGGAGCCTTCTGAAACTGCTGGTAGGCCACAACCTCGTGGTGATGCACAGATTAATGGAGATGGGTTAGTTTAGGATATAAGAATTAGCCAGAAATACGATTAAGCTATTGACCAAAGAGTATTGCAAATAATATAGTTCCTATGTGATTATTTCGAGTCTGGGCGGCTGGGAAATGAACGAGCAGCCTCCTCCAACAAGCTAGGGCCTGGGATTGCATTTCACATCCAATTCACTGAAACTTGTAGAATTATGGCCTGCCCCTTGGGCAAATCACCATCTTAGCTTTTGTACAAAACTGTGTTTTCCCACTCAATCACTACTTCCAACTAGTATCAACTAGGTAAATTTTTAAAGGGTTCATTGTTTTTAAATGACTCATGTTTAAAATTCTACATGTGAGCAAAAACAATAGCAATTTAGGAACATAAGCATATGCCACACTAACTCATTTGCAGTTTGGTTGCATTATTTCAGTTTTAACATTCTTTAGTGCTATAACACGAAAATCTAATCCTCCTTATCAAAATTGTATATTTCCCTTATAAATTAGCTTCTATTATCTAGTCTCTCCCATAAAGACCAGTTTTTGACCACACATATTCTGTCTAATTATATAAGCTATTCAAGAGGATAGAATCATGAATTCTAACTCTAACATAACTTGGAAGTGTTTTATAGACAATTGTTTAGACCCTGGTAAAAAAATCTCTTGCTGCTTCTAAGAGCTACTCTCTCCCTCTCCATTTACCCTTCTTATCAGTGCTGAGTTCTTTCCAGACTGCCACAAAGAAAGAAAAAAAAAGAAATTCTTTAAGACTGTGTCAACTTCGAGATACAAGCCAATTTCCTTAGATTAGCGGGGGTTTCTAAATCTTTCTTTTTCTCTTTTTTTTCCTCTTAGAGGGTCAACCTAGGACCTCATGCATGCATGCCAGACAAGTGTGCTTCCACTGAGCTCCAACCTAACCCAATATATTCAAAACACTCCTATTTCAGATTATAGTCAGTAGAAACTATTAATGAGGCAATTTCGGCTATTTGGGGCCAAATCGCTGTGTAACTTATACTTGCATTACTCCTCAGATTCAGACGAAGCACTTTTCAACTGCTTGGCAGCCACATGTGGTAGGTGGTCACCACGCAAGGTGACAGAGATCTGCCTCATTGCTCTGTCTGATGCATTGTCACATGCCTTCTCCAGAAGGCCCTCAACGGAGCATCTAGCTCCCTGTTACTCAACTGAGACTAGCTAACAATATTAGGAACACTTGGAGCTGGTAAGAAATTCTGATAGTTGGACTCCAGCCAAGTCCTATTTAAAACAGGATCAGCATTTTGCATGATGCCTATGCAATTAGTTTGCATATGAAACCTTAGGAAGACTGCTTTCACCTCTTCTTGAACACATCCAATTCATAACTGAGGCCTATATTACCCTTAAGTGGTTCGAAATTATAACAAAAACATTTATCAATCTTTTATTGAGTATCCTTCATAATCCCAGAACTATATCGTATGTAAAGAGCATTATGAGGTAGGGGCTAATTTTGGTTCCTTATCTTTTGTTACTTATTGCTTTGTGGGGAAAAAATAGAACTTTTCATAAAAATTAAATTTTTTTATCTTTTTTTCTTGTATTGTGGGAAAATGTTTTATTTTAGAATAATTTGGAGGAGGGTTGGTGTTACACGCCTTTAGTCCCAGCACTCAGGAGGCAGAGGTAGGTGGATCTCTGTGAGTTCGAGGCCAGCCTGATCTATAAATCGAGTTGAAGGACAGCCAAGCTTGTTACCCAGAAAAAGCCTGTGTCAAAAAAGAATCTAGAATAATTTGGGTTTACAGAAAAGTTATAAAGATCCTGCTCTCATCAGCTTCTCCAAGCTACCCCTAATTGCTAACATTTATGGAACTTGGCATATTAGTTAAAAAGCAAGACATTTCTGTGTTATGACACTACTAACAGAGACATTCTGAGTTCTCCAGCTTTTAACATGTATTTCCTTGAACCATTATAGCTTCCAATTAAGGATAATATGTTACATTCAACTCCCACATCAGCTCCCATAAATAACAGAGGACCGGGTATAGACCCGTACAGTGCAGAACCCTGCTGATACAGGGTTAGGGTTAGGGTTTGTTGCTTCAGTCTCTGTGAGTTCATATGAGCTTTGATAATGGTGATTTAGAGGGTCTTGTTTTCTTGGTGTCCTCCATCTTACTCTCTCTCTCTCTCTCTCTCTCTCTCTCTCTCTCCTCCTTTTATTTAAAAATAGATTTTTTTTCTCACGTAATATATCCTGATTATGGCTTCTCTACTCCCAGTTCACCCCAATTTCCCCTCCCTTTTGTCTCTCATTAGAAAACAAAAAGGCTTCTAATGTGATATAATATAATAATGCAATGAGATAAATCAAAAACTAACACAGGAATTGGACAAAATAAACAGAAGGAAAGAACAAAAGAGAAGGCATAAGAAACAGATACCCATTCCTTTGCACACTCAGGATTCCATAAAAACACTAAACTGGAAGCTATAATATTTAACAGAGGATCTGGTGCAGACCCATGCATGCCCTATACATGCTGCTTCAGTCTCTGTGAGTTCATATGAGCTTTGGTCGTGTTGATTTAGAGGGCCTTGTTTTCTTGGTGTCCTCTCTCTGCTCCTACCTTTACACTTTTTCTGCTTTATCTTTCACAGGGTTCCCTGAGTTCGGAGGGAAGGGATTTGATGGAGCCACCCCATTTAGGGCTGGATGTTCTAAGGTCTCTCACTCTCTGCATAATATCTGGCTGTGGGCCTCTGTATTTGTCCCCCTCTGCTTCAAGCTGTGTCAGGTATGGATTCCATCTCATGGAATGGTCCTTAAGTCAAATTAGGAATTGGGTGGTTACTCCCACAGCTTTGGGCCACCATTGCACTAGCACATTTTAGAGATGGGACACCATTGTAGATCAAAGGGCTTGTGGCTAGGTTGTTGGCGGTG